ATAAATATATTAAAAATTCTAATATTTTCGTATTTTATCTGCGAAAATTTTTTATACATTCCGTAACAAACAAAGCGCAATTCTAAAAACAAAACACGCAAAGAGAAGAAGAAAAAAAAAAAAAGACTTGTTATAGAATCGATTGTCAAAGTACGGGATGTAATCGACTTACGTCACACGCAGCACGCCACCTAACGCCTAGAATCGGAAGCGTGGGAAAGTAGGTAATATCATGTTGACAGATAAAGTGATAAAAGTATGTTGTATCTGAGCGATAGACGTAACGTGTGTCCAAACATAAGTTAAAGCGAATTGCGCATTGGTTTGTTGTAATGTCACCCAGTTGACGATAGCATACGAAAGACGGGGGTCGTGAGAACCTGTTGGCCCCAAGGCGATAACTACTTTAACCGATTCCGATATAGTCACTCACTACCGTATCTTTACACACGTCTCTTACTTCGCTCGGATTTTTAGCATTGGATAAAGCATACCTCTGAGCAGGTAAGTCACTTTATCGTCGATTTTTTTTTTTTTTTTTTTAATGTTAAGCTTATGTAAATAAATTACTTTATCTTGATTTTTTTTTCTAATTAATTTATTTCGATAACTGGATAAGTTGGATGCGATAACATTTCATACTTTTATGTCAAAGTCTTGCAATTTTTTTTTTCCATCTTTTCGTTCCGGGTTTATTCGGCTCGCTTCCAAATTTTTCTCGTTAACATACTGCAAACGTCTCCTCCCTTCTCGTTACTTTTAAAGGTATAAAAAGTTTAGTTTTGAGAATTTTTTCTATAGAAAATCGTGCATAGAATATATACATTTATATGTATATATTCCAAGCATTTTTTTTGGTATATTTTAGTTAGTTTTTTTGACATGTTACAGCCTTGTATATGTACTTTTATATATTTACTCAAATATCTTTCTATTTGTTATATACAGGCTATAATAAAGACTACACAGAATAAAGGATGTCTACTCGTAACTTATATATATAGAGAAACAGTTATATATATATATATATATATATGAGAAAGGATTGTTTATATAGTAAGGCTATATACAGAAAAGGTTGCATATATATTAAAAAAAGGCTACGGATTCGTCAGAAAAGATCGTGTTTATAAAGATATATTCTACAGGATTTCTAATTTAATTAAAATAGATAAATGGTTGGCATTTTAGTGGAAAGAAATGCCAAAGTTTAAAGATTGAAGGGAAGAGAGAACATGTCAAAAAAAGAAAAAAAAACAAATGATTAAAATAGCATTCCCTGCACTGATTTTAGATGTGATATTACAATTTATCTTTCTCTCGTTCTGTGAGAAAAATCTATAGAAATGATTTTTATCAGCGTGAATAATCTTGCACCTTTGTAAAGTAAGATAAGAAGTGAATACATTTCTCAAAAATGTCTCTTCTATTTCTATTTCTACACCTATATTGCATTTTATGATCATTACGTGCCTCGTAAATTATCATGTCGCTATGCTTTATATACAGGAATACGTATCTCTTCCACCTTTATTCATTTGTCAAAATTTCGATGAGTTTTCTACACTCGCTAAACAAGTAAATTACGTTAAAATAAAATAAAAAATAAAAAACCACGAGAATATATTAAATTTATGCTTTTCAAATTCGATTCTATAAGGTGTAATTACTTTAAGAATTGAAAATGTCTTAAGATATCGACGATTGTTTTCCTTGTTTAAACGAGGATAAATGATTGGATTCTACTAGGATTAATCGCCCATTTAAGTTGAATTTTGCGAGTTAAGGATGATGAAAGGAGAGAAAATTCACCCACCCATCCGTGTGTCAATGAGACTGAATCACATCCAGGTAGGCAAACAGCACGAAGATAAGTAGCATGGGAAAGACAGGTAGAGATAACAGAGTGCAAAGTACGCATGCCATCCCTCTTCTTTCTCTAGTTTGATTCGTTAGACGTGATGTGACGTCATCTACATGCTGTCTGCCGTAATGTCCACGACCGGAGAAAATTACACTTATTTTTATTTTTTTATTTTTTGCTTTTTATTTTCCTTTAGTTTCTTAACTCCCGAACTCTCTAACGACGAACATGAACATACTTGGTACATTGACTCATCTCGACTATCTATCTCTTTGAGGATTGCTCCGTCGGCGGCTCTTATATCAGATATGCAACAAACCGGGTTCTCTTCGGGGTCATTTGCATAACTCACCCTCATCTTAACGAGTTAACTGTAATCTAATTACCGATATTATAAACGGGGGGAAGAAGAAACGAACGGATAAAAATCTTTCTTTAATCTAGTAGCTTCCATCCTGAATGCCCGTAGATTGCTCGGAGAGAATACTAAATTGCAAATCCATTTTGGTACCTCCATTATGTTTCTTAACGTTTTAAATCGAAAGTCTTTCGAGATGGCTATCAATCACGTGGTAGATTGTTTCTTTTTTACGATCCAATGATTTCTCTCGACCGTTCTCCAGGGAATTTCGAACCGTCACGTGATACGCCGCCATCTTGGATGTTTCAAACTTAAGTTGTTTTTTTTATTTTTTTCCTCTTCCGTTTTAATATTATATTGGTGTTTTAAATAATATTTTACCGTTTAATTTCTCGAATGGAAATCTCTCACGATGTTTAATAACACGTCGGACCGCAATCCACTACTCCCTTTAATAACAAATTTGGCCAATTGCGTCAACGAGACTCACTCAGCCACGACTTCGCCTGCCCTCTACACGCCATCCAAGAACACGGTTCCAGATTATCAGTAGATTGCCGACTGTAATGTCTAGTGCAACGTCAATGTTGGGAAAATATTTCATACAACGCGCTATTAGAAATATTTTGGATTAACCAACGATTCTATGGAAAGGTGAGCACTTCGTAATCATTTTTTTTAAATTATTTTGCATCGTGGAAAATATGTTTTTTTATATAATTTTATATCACGGAATATTTTTCTATACTCCGAAATATATTTTAAAGTTAAAAATCAACCGAAAAGATAGTAGAATCGATTATGTAACAAACGGAGGAGGAGCGCCTTGCTTCCAGAACTTTGCTGCCATAGAAAACTCTTGTAAAATTTGATTTTTTGGAGATATTTTCTTCAATTTCGTATCTTACAGAAGAAACTTTTCCGCCTTTCTATCGATATTTTAGCTTCGAATATATAGCAAAACGATGCGGAGAGCACGTTTAGCCTTAGGCCACTCCCGTTCTGTCAGGTGCTTAACAACAAACCTTCTCCAACGCTTCCGGTATTTACCTAACAATCTTTACCAATCAATCACTTTCTCTTTCCAACTATTTACCTCGATTTAACAACAAAAAAATCGATGGAAAACTTAAAATTTTTACAAGTCTACGAAAGTTCAAAAATAGTTTTTTTATTTTTATTTTTTCCAAGTATTTATTTTGAGAAGAAGAATGGTTGGCGCCGACAGGAAACATTATTTTGAGACTCGTGCTATTCAGGTAGATACTGTTATATTTTCTTTAAGAGAAAACACTTAAATAAAGATCGTTTTTAAAAATAAACATTAATCTATGAGAACTTCAACAGGTGAATCTTTGTAATTTTTAGGTTAGATTTCTCTGCTTCCGTTCCATCCCACTTCCTTCAGAGCTGATGCGTGAAGCTCCTGTCCACCTTTAGTTAATGGAACAGGTTTTTATCCATAATTTTCAACTACGAAAATATATTTAAAAGGAAGAAAAAAAGCCGCACTACTGATTCCAAACAATAACTAAATCACGGATGATCGGGATGAACTGTTAAATATCCAACGATACCAACTCTTTCGGGAGTGATTTTTTTAATCACTTTTAAAGGGTTTATTTCATTCTACAGTTAAAATAGAAAGTACAGGAAATTTTCTAGTTAAACTTGTTGCTTCACTCAATTAAAAACTTCCCTGTATCTATCTTAAAAGTCACTGGCATATAGGACAGCATTTAATGTCATCTGCAACTTTACCATCCATTAAATTCAAATTTCCATCATGTAAAAAAAGAAAAACTAGTCGTACTACTTTAATGAAACGGGGATATACCTATATTTATTGTATGTTTTATTAATTTTTTTTTTTAATTAATATTCTTCTTATAATTGCCTTGTGTTTCTAATGGTTTTGTTACCGGGGTGTCGAACTTTTTACAATATTTATATAACAGGTAGGAATGAAGTACGAGAGATTTAACTATGAAAAATATACGTCTGGTATATTATATTTTCTTTTCTTTTCGACCCACAAAACAGGTAGGAATGGTCTCCGTGGGAACAATCTTACACGACCAGTCAGACGATTGTTGTGGCGCCTCCAGAATGCTTTCTTGTTGTATACGTGATCTGTTGACAAAGTATTGTAGATGCGCATCATCACGCACCTCTTCCACGCTTAACAACCCCTTGCTGAAATATAATTATAAGATAAAAAATTTTGATATATATTTTATTCTTAACGTCGTTTCTTATTACATTTAAACTATACGTACATTTTTATATAGAGTAATTATTCGGTTTTCGCTCCTTCGATCAGATAAGAGGGCTTTTCTTATGAGAGAGAGAGAGAGAGAGGAAAAAAAAAACTATGTCACTCGTCAGCCGTATTGTGTCAGAAGAGTGAATATCCTAATCTTGGCATTCACCACCCTCTAATCATGGCCACGTGTATCGGCGGTCACGTGAACGCATCTATTCATAGTTTGCAGAAACATTTTGCAAAGCATCTCGAGACCGATTGGGATGATTTCCTTGCTAGCAGACGATTTATGTCTCGTAGTTTATTTTAAGTAAGGTGAGGGACCTGACTTTAAGACGAAAATATCCTTCCATTTTCCGTTTGCCATGCTGTAAACCCGTTAAAACGATACCAAGTATAGGTTACTCGTCTCTATCCAAAAAAAAGAATCCATTCTTCCGATGAATACGACGAAATTTTCCAAAAATTTTACTCTTCTAATCCAGTTACAAGTATAAAACAGATGGTCTAAACGATTGCCCGAGGCTCATTTATCTAGATTATTCAATGGATGCGCTCGAAGAACTATGCTTATCCAAGCTTACATAATAAATCAAAACCGTTTAAAGTTTTGTTTCAGTTTTTATTTTAAAATAAAATATATTATTTAACGTTTAGAAATAACATTTAAGGAAGTCTAAACTCCCTTTTCAAGTGTTGTGAATCTAGAAAGATCACGATCCTTATGAAATATTACGTATCACGCCTACCTTTACTCTATAATGGTATATAACCTACGTTCTTGTAAATCAACCGAAAGATCTGTGACAAGACTTTTCTCTTTTAGCATTGATAAAAGAATACTTCCTTAAAATTAAGAATCAACCATGCAAAAAAAAAATTAATTAAATCTTGCTTATAGCATCATTAAATAAGGTTAAGTTACCGAGTATCAGTCGTATATATAATGTTTTAAAAAGTATTCTTTAACTAAAGTTTTTATATATTTTGCTTAATTAGAAATTTTGTTATGG